TTAGTGCTGAGGCGCACAGGGGAGATGGCCGCTTGCAACACGACAGGGGGTAGTGCAGCCTGAAGTGCGCCACCCACTCAACACTGGAACGACCACCGCTGAAGTGCCGTCTCGCCAACACAGAAAGCTTCTGAGAGCGTGCTGAACTCGTAGTTCTCAAAATGAATACTATGATAAAAGTTCATGAGCATGCATTGATTAATGCCATGTTGTAGCAAAACAAAAAAACTGTGACCAAATGATGTGCTCGTGCGACCAACTGAGAAATTCACAAAAGAGCGACCAGTGGGAAGAATAAGTCTAGAGCCCTGTATAGCCTAAACGCGGCATTATGCGGATGGCACTATCAGTGAACAGGGCAAAAATATGTCAAAATGTATAAGGCTAGAGCACCCTCACTGATTTCAGAAGCACCCTCAGTGATTTGATTCAGGAACCGGGCATGCTTGTATCTGGAGATTATAACTTTATATATTTCTATATTAGCCTATATATATATTTACCCCATATATTAAACCGTGTGTAGCGCTCTAACACAATGTAGCCTACTGTACGTGCATTGAGCGACCATGCCTGGTCCTCTCCAATAACGTACCCATATAGCACACAAAGTTATATCCCAATATATAATTTCATGATGATAGATTTACCAGGATTCTGCAATGTCTATGTTAAAAATCACATTTGTATTAAGTCTATGCATTGTTCCAAAGACGGCTCTAGTTCTCAACTGAACATGTGGGAGAAGCATCACTACATTTGGTCAAAGAAAACTTGTTAAAATCTACATTTTTCTATATTAATTTGTGCATTTTTCAAACGTCTATTAAAAGTGCAAAAATTTATTTACAAATATCTGAAAATAAGTAAATATTTTACTTTTTCGGGCAGCATTTTGTGTGTACGGCTCTAATTTCAATTTTGGTTTTCAGCATAGCATTTAAAAATACAACAACCGTTCTTTTTTCGTTTTTTTCCGTCATGGTTAAAAAACTAAAAACGTATGGACGCAAAAGTACACGGACCATGCACAGACTGGAATGGCTCATAAAGCTATAGAATGGTTCTTCTGTTTACAGACAACACAAAATTCTATAGGCTACAGTAGATTTTAGTACAATTCAGTTAGTCTGTTAACAGTTTTGTTTGTGAGGGGTAGACATGGCATTACTGGGTTCTTGAATCATGGATTCTTTATTTCATGAAGATGAATTGGTAATTTGAAATCAAATATCAAGTTAGGAAACAAAAAAGGGTAAAAAACTCACCAGAGTATTGGCTGCAATGTAACCATGAGAGGATTTATCTGGAAGCATAAACATTCCATTAGTCAGAATTTTTGTAAACATAAATTACATGATTCTTCTTTATTAGATATAAATGTAGAAGGGTCAGATGTGTCATTCTTAAGGCTGATTTATACTTCTGCGTCGGACCTACGCCATAGGCTACGTGTCGGTCATTTATACATCATTTATACTTCTATCATCTATACATTGTCCTCATCGACGTGCAATTACACATGCAGACCGCTAGAATGCAGTGTCCACGGGCATGTTGATGGTGTAACCCACAGTATCAAGGCAAAAGCTGAAGAAGAAGCAGCAGCAGTGATAGCAGTAAATAGAAAGTAACTTCTTTTGCAGCTTGAGTTGTTAAATATCGAAGAAAAGATAATTTATTTAAAAAGAAAAAACAGGAGACGACATCTTTGCTTTCACATGTCGCAAATGGAAATGCGTATGAGAAAATGCGGCGCTATCGCAGATTTTTATTTATTTTTTGACCTGAAAGGGAGGGGTTGTAGGGGTTGTAACAGACCAATCACAGCGCTTGTGGTCCTCGTAGAATTGATGTGTTGTTACATTTCTGGGGCCTCATTTATAAAATACTGCGTAGAAAGCATCCTAAATTTTATTTTACGATAATTTCTCAAAGTGCGTACGTGTGATTCATAGAACGAACGTATGCACAGAAAATGTGCGTACGCCGCTCTTTTAGATGTGAAATCTATAAATTGCAATGATCTTGAAATTGTGTGCAGCTGAACAGTTTCAGATCTCCGCCTTGTAAACAATGTCTAATTAATGTCATTGACTTATAAAAGAGCACCTGACAATGTCCAAATCTTTTACAAGCGGCAAGAATGGCTTATATTTCCAAAACTCGGGCAAACAAAAGTGCGTACATCTGCTCAGACCCTGACGTGGCGCTAAGCTCTTTTCCACGCCAAAGACTCTACGATCAAATCTGTGCATACGCACGTTTTATAAATGAGGCCCCTGGAGAGGTGCGCGTCAGGCTGTGCTGTAGACTATGCATGCTATGCACAACCTACAGCGTAGCTACGGCGTAGTTTTGACGCAGAAGTATAAATCAGCATTTATAAAACTGCCAATTCTGCTGGACAATTTCAGGACTTCTTTAAAAAAAAAAAGAATAAATACTTTTTAATGGCTGATTCTTTGCTTGCATGTTTTGTTAGCTTCAAGGAGTTTTAAAGTAAAATATTACAGGGTTGAAGGTTACTAAAAATGTTTTTTTTAAAGTTTTACTAATAACAGCCTCTCAGCAAATATCTAGCAAAGTACTGCACAACATCATTTCATTTACAGTTAATATTCTTGTTCTCTGTGCCAAATACAACATTTAAAAAAATTGAGCAGTATGATCTGAACTACTTGATTACATACTCAATTTGATATATGGGTCAAAGACTAAAAGGGGTTCCCTATTTGACATTGTGTCAGATTACTGACAATAGGGGTCACACTTAGGTAACCTATGATAATTCAGAAAAGGCCAATGAGAATTGGTAAGTGGAATTTGCATGCACCACTCCCCCATACACATGGGTATAAAAGGAGTGGGCATGCATCCACTCATTCAGACTTGGAGCCAAGCAAGTGCTACAAGCTCATCCCATTCACCTTGTAGAAACGTTTGTATCTGGTGCAACGGTGCATTTTCAGAGGTTCCTCTCCCTGCAACAGATAATTGCTAAGAGCTCCCCTGGGCTCTTCATAAAAAGAGAAGTTTCCAACAAAAGAGTAAACACAGATGGTCAGTTTAGTTGTAAAAATGCCTTTCCATCTCTGTGTTTCTGAGTGCGGTCTATATCTGTCAAACTCGGACGGCCATCTCTACCTCGTGTGTCAGGGACGTACACATGCTGAGAAAGCTTTCATGAATAGTTAAGTCTTCACTGCGAGAACGTGACCATGGCAACTTTGAGTTCTTGACTCGCTTTTTTAATTCAGATGAGTCACCTCTGACACTGGTATGTGGCCTCAAACACATACCTTTTCTTCCTGGAAGTGCATGAGGAGCTCACAAAATCGTGGAGGGCACCTTTCACTGCCCGGTCCTGCTTCACAAGCTCCTCCACACTCGCTACTTTCAACTGTGGGGCGGCCAGGATGTACACAAAGGTTTCCCAAGTGGAGTGTGAGACCTGTTCTTGCAAAACACCGCTCCTTCCCCTGGTGGCACTTTTGTTTTTGTTTCACATGCTCCACCTGGGAAACCTCCGTGTTCCCTTTTGTTTTTATTTTGATGCTGTCCCAAGGGGAAGCAGTACCCAAATTAAAAAAAAAAAAGAGCAGCTTTCGCACTTCCTGGGTCACACAACCCCCAAACACCTCGCCTTCCCAACCCATCAGTAACTGCTCAGGTTGATGCATACAGTGCCTTGCGAAAGTATTCATACACCTTCATTTTTTTTCACATTTTGTTATGTTGCTGCCTTATGTTAAAATGCTTTAAATTACTTTTTTTCCCACATCAATCTACGTTCCATACACCATAATGGCAAAGCAAAGAACAGGTTTTCAACATCTTTGCAAATTTGTTCAAAATAAAAAAAAAACGTAAATGATTCCATTGCATAAGTAATCATACCCTTATCTGGGACAGTTTAAATTTAGCTCAGGAGCATTCATATTGCTTGTAGATGTTACTAGACTTCGAGTGAAGTTAACCTGTGGCAAATTCAATTGAATGGATATGATTTGGAAAGGCACACACCTCTCAATAAAAGGTCTAACAGCTGAAAATGCATATCAGTGTAAAAACCAAGCCCTGAGTTCAAAATAACTGCCTGTAGAGCTCAAAAACTGGATTGTATCAAGCCACATATCTGGGGAAGAGTTCAGAAAAAAATCTGCTGCATTGAAGGTTCGCAGAAGCATGTAGTCTCCATTACTCTTGGTGGAAGAAGTTTGAAACAACCAGGACTCTTCCTTGAGCTGGCCAAACTGAGCAATCAGTGGGGAAGGGCCTTGGTTAGACTGGTGACCAAGAACCTGATGGCCACTCTAGTTGAGCTCTATGATCATATGTGGAGATAGGAGAAACTTACAGAAGGACAAACATCACTGCAACACTCCACCGATCCGGTCTTTATGGCGGTGTGGCCAAACTGAATCTTCTCCTCAGTGAAGACACATGAAAACACACTTGGAATTTGCAAAAAAGGACCTAAAGAACCCTCAGATTGTGAGTAACAAGATTCTCTGGTCTGATGAGCCGCAATTCCAAGCATCATGTTTGAAGGAAACCAGGCACTGCTCATCACCTGCAGAGTAACATTCCAAAATGAAAGTGTGCTGGTAGCAGCCTCATGCTTGAGGGGCTGTTATTCAGCGGCAGGGACTGAGGGACTCGTCAGAGTAGAAGAAAAGCTCAGTGCACCAAAATATTCAGATAGCCTTAATGAAAACCCAGTTCAGGCAATTCAGAACCTCAGACTGGGCAGAAGATTCATCTTCCAACAGGACAATGACCCTAAGCACACAGCAAGGGTGGCTTATAGACAACTCTGTGAATGTCCTTAAGTGGCCCAGCCAGAGCCTGGGCTTGAACCCAATCAAACATTTCTGGAGAAACCTTAAAATGTGCGTTTGCCCCCATCCAACCTGACAGAACGTGAGAGGTGAAGAGTTGTGGACAAGAATGGCAGATAATTGCCAAATGCTGATGTGCAAAGCTTGTTGCATCATACCAAAAAGACTTGAGGCTGTAAAGGTTCTTCAACGAAGTAGTTAAGGGTATGAATACTTATGCAATGTACCTATTTAAGTGCGTTTATTTTGTAATAAATGTATGAAGTTTTGACAATTCTGTTTTTGCTTTGTCATTATGGTGTGTGGATTGATGTGGAAAAAAATAAATTTGTAGTTTAACATAAGGCTGCAACTTAACAAAACATGAAAAAAATGAAGGGGTATGAATACTTTCACAAGGCCCTGTATGAGACCGCTTCAGCACTGGCTTCGAACTGGTATGGGACCATGGCATGCATCGAGTGGCTATAGTCTCTGTACATTCAGCCCTTGGACAGACCTTGCATTTCTATGGGCAGGGGTTCCCCTAGAACAAGTGTCCAGTCATGTTGTTGACTCAAGAGACATATCCAAGTCAGGCACACAGCCTCATGCTCCTGGACAGAATATCGAGTGCGTATATGCCTCGAGATGCTCACAGTAATTCCTTGCCCTGCTGAGGTTTCGGCTGTTGATCCTGAGCAAGCACAATTTGGTCTGGATGGACCAAATAAACGGCGGTTTACGCTCATGTCGTATGTCACATCTCGCCAACCATCTCTTCCTTTGGAGTTAGTAGCGACTGAAGTTACTGCGGTCCACTCATATTCCAGGCAAGCTCAATCAGGCAGTGGACGTGCTGTCTCAATGGGCAACACTCAAAGGAGAGTGGATACTGCACCCTCAGGTGGTCCAGCTGATCTGATTCAGCAAAGCACAGGTAGACTTGTTCGCTTCCCAAGAATCCTCCTACAACATCAAAGTGACTGACAGATAGGGAATATCTTGGTTACTATTGTAACCTCTGTTCCCTGTTGGGGGGAACGAGACGTTGTGTCCCTCCTGCCACTGAACTACCCGCTGAATGTCTGGGACATACTCTTGGCTCCTCAACATGTACCTGAATGAGTGGATGGATGCCCATTCCTTTTAATACCCGTGTGTATGGGGGAGCGGTGCATACAAATTCCATTTGCCTTTTCTGAAATATCAGGAGTGTTTGGGTCTCTCAAGTGCGATCCTGTCAGTAATTCAACCCAACGATGTTATAATAGTAAACAAAACATTTTCAAGCATCAAAACAATAAATATTTAATACAGCTTTATATTTTTGTTAATTGAGAATGCGTCCTGTTTATTCATTTATTTATTATTAGTATTATTATTATTTTTGATAAAAAATAATGACTATCATACATTTTTACCATGATTTACAGAAGGCACCTACTAAAATGTCATATAGTGTAACACAAGTTTATATGCAAAAAAAAAAAAAAATCCTGTCAGGCATATTTAGAGCAAAAATTATAAGATGACATTAAACTCTATTTAATGATCACAGTACAACCCCCAAATTAACTGTAATAACTAACTGTAGCTGACTTCAGTTGTTGTTTGTTCGTGGGTCTTTCTGCCTTTAGTTTTCTCTTCAGCAAGTGAAATGCATGCTCAATCGGGTTGAGATCAGGAGATTGACTTGGCCATGGCAGAATATTCCACTTTTTTACCTTCAAAAACTCCTGGGTTGCTTTTGCTGTATGTTTTGGGTCATTTTCCATTTGTACTATGAAGCGCTGTCCAATCAGCTTTGATGTATTTGGCTGAATCTGGGCAGACAGTATATCCCTATACACTTCACAATTAATCCGGCTGCTTCTGTCTTCTGTCACGTCATCAATAAACACCAGTAACCCAGTGCCACTGGAAGCCATGCATGCCCATTCCATCACACTGTCTCCACCATGTTTCACAGTGTGAAACAGTGTGAGATCCTACTTGAATATGTTTTGGTCAACAGCTAAAATAATCAAAATTGTGCCTGTGTACAGCTGTTCCAAGCCTTCTCCATACTTTCCCCCCCCGTCATTCTAGCACAGGTTGATCTTAATTTCATCTGTCCAAAGAATGCTTTTCCAGAAGTGGTCTGGCTTTTTTAGCTGTTTTTTCACAAAGTCTAATCTGGCCTTTCTATTCTTGAGGCTTATGAATGGTTTGCACCTTGTGGTGAACCCTCTGTATTTGCTCTTGTGAAGTCTTCTCTTGATTGTAGACTTTGACAATGACACGCCTGCCTCCTGGAGAGTGTTCTTCACTTGGCTGGATGCTGTGAAATGGTTTTTCTTTTCCATGGAGAGGATCCTCTGATCATCCACAACTGTTGTCATCCATGGATGTCCAGGCCTTTTCATGTTGCTGAGCTCACCAGTGCATTTTTTTCTCAGAATGTACCAAACTGTTGATTTGGCCACTCCTAATGTTCCTGCTATCTCTCTGATGGATTTGTTTTGTTTTTGAAGCCTAACAAGTGTCTGCTTCACTTGCATGGAGAGGTCCTTTGACCACATGATCACAGCAACAGCTTCCAAATGCAAATGGTACACTTAGAATCAACTCCAGAACTTTTACCTGCCTAATTGATGTAGAAATAGCGAAGGAATAGCCCACACTTGTCCATGAAACAGCTTTTGAGTCAATTGTCCAACTACTTATGGTCCCTTGAAAAAGGGGGAGGTACATATTAAAGAGCTGTAATTCCTTAACCTTTCCTCCAATTGTGATGAGAATACCATCAAATTAAAGCTCAGAGTATGCACGTTAAACCATATTCATTATATAACTGTAACTTGAATATGTTTTTGTCAACAGCTTAAATAATCAAAATTGTGCCTGTGTCCAAATATATATGGACCTAACTGTATGATCACTTTTTCTTTTATATATTTTAATAAGGACAGGTCAGAATGTTGTTGCATTTTTACATTAATACATCTGTTACGCTGAATGACAATGGACCATTATTTCACCCATATTTTGACTTTTTTTCCCCCACACAAGTTATTTGAAACATTAGACACTTTTCTTGCATTTAATATGCTTTTTATGTATATAAATCTCTTTTTCACATTTAATTTGATGCAGACACCAAAATAGGAAGTCTCGTCTTTGACTCATATATATAGTACACAGCATAAATAAGTACTATACATCCTCTCTGAACTAAACATATATTTCTATTTCTTAATGATCTATTACAATTCATGGGAAGATGGCAAATAACAGGGGTGGTCAGGCTTCAATCCTGGGTGGCCATAGCCACCACATACCTACGCCCCTGCATACATATGTATGTGTATTTGTTTGGGTGTGCGTGTCTCACCTCCTGATGTGAAGCTCATGTATTTCTGGTTGTTGACTGTCTCTTTGGAGTCGTAGAACTTGAGAACATCTATTACAGCCTGAGGGTTTTTCTTCTGTTCCAGCTTAGTAATATTAGAGGTTTGCAATAACCGAGCCCATTGCTCTGGAATACCCTGTGTATGTGTACATGTGTGCATTGGAAACAGACAAAATGGACAATTGAGTAAATCACACATGTCTTTTACATGCCAACCAGGCTTTGTGAAACTGTCAATAATATTTAAAACATTTACATATTCCAGACTGTGATATCAATAGCAAAGTGTGACAAAAACATGAATTTGCAACAGTATTTTAAAAACTATGGCACAACCAGAGACAGACATTATGTTATCTACATGCTTATGGGCCATTCACACAGGACACATTCTTACAAGCAAGTGCAATGTATTTGAATACTTTTAAACAGCTTAAAAAACAAAAAACAAAAAAAAACTAAAATATTTTATGTATAACATCTGCTTGTGATGCTTTTTAATCATTTTCAATGCAGCTCGAATTTGACCTAAGGTAAAGCGGTGGGTGATATTAGATTTATAAAGGGTTTATAACTAATTTCAGTACATTCAGTCAGTAAACAATTTTAGCTTTAGGGCTGGGTGATAAACAATATCATATTGATGTCATGCAACGGTGGCTCTAATGAAGCACACGACGATAGAGTATTTAGGAAACAGTCTTTTAATAAGTAAATCCAAAAGGAACAGGGAAACTCAGGAGAAGGGAAACACAACCTTGTAAAACACAGACGAGAATGAACAAAGCACTGGGGAAAACTAAAGGCTTAAATACAAGAGGGAGATCATTAACAGAAAACAGAACAGGTGTAGAACTAATTAAAAACCAAGGAAACAAATTAGGATAAGAAACACCAATAACCACAGGGAGTACCAATTTAAAACACAACAAACAGATGGATCTAAACATAACTGTTAGAATTGAGATCGCAATGAAATGTGTGTCGATAACGATTAGCTCTGGACATTTTTACTTGGTATGGATTAATCTAACAATCTATCACACAGCAGAATAAATGTGACAACAGCCAAATGTCGCTAATAAATCTGCATGCTCTGCATGTCTCTGTGTAAATGATTGGCACAGTTTCATCCAAAGACTTTAGACAGAAGACAGTGCACTCACATTACTTATATATGGGGGAAAAGTGCAACGAGCAATATGGTGGAAGAAGTTCATGCTGTCTAAATAAAAGAGGCAATCACCAATTGATAAAGTCATTTGCTGTAAATTCGCATACTATTCAAAATTAGAATGAATGAGTCCCAATTCATAGTATGTTGAAATAAGTGTGGTCTACTACTTTTTATGTAGGTCTGCTATTTAAAGTGCAGATCCATGCACACTCTAACAGCTATCTGACAACCCATTGCTTGTTGAACCAGGATTTGATTAGAACTACAAACTTGAATAAACGTGTAAAAAAAAAAAAAATACAAACATGGCAGATATGCAACATCCACGGTTAAGAATAGTGGTTTAGATAAAAGGAGTTTGAGTGAAAAAAAAACAAAAAAAAACAATATATATATATATATATATATATATATATATATATATATTTGACTGAATAACTAACTAACTAACAAAATGAAATGTTTTGTAAATTAACTGTTATATTTTCATTTAATTACAATTTTAAAAGATTGATTAAATTTTAATTTATTAAAATTAAAATGTATTTATTCATTTAATTTAACACTTTTTCTTTTTTTCGATGATACATTTATATTAAATTATAAAACACAGAATCCAGAAAAAAATAAAATAAATGGAAAACATGGAATTTAGGGAAAAATAAAATAGATTTAATGGGGCCCTAAATTTACAACTTACTCTCTGGAGTTTAACTGTAAACAAACAAGTTATTTTTACACTCATTCTCAAGGTCTAACAAACATGGGCAAAGCATTTCCTTCCCCATTTAAGGTAAATACATATTGTGATAAAAATCTACATTGTATAATATGGGTAGTAATAATAATAATAATATTAATAATAATTTTGGCCACATCTCCCAGCCCTAGTTACCATTATGGCACTGTTCTAAACATATTCCTTATGGTTGCTTATTTTCATTACTAATGCTAATATCTAACATGTCAGTACATACACAACACACACACACAGACACACACACACACACACACACACACACACACACGCCAACTGTTATAAAAGGATATCATCCACATGAACCATACATCACAGATAACAATGACTCTTAAACAAACACACAAAACCCAAAACACCTGAGACTGGGTAAACTCACAGTGAATTCCCCCGTTACTGCATCAAAGCCTACATGGATGGTGTGCTCAAAATCAGACGGCAGGGATATCTCTGGACGCTCTTTCTCTTTCTTTTTATTGGCTGTTGAATAGAGGAACAAACACACTTTAACACTTTTAGATCAGCCCATCAAAACGGAATTCAGTTTGAATGGTACAATACAGCCCTTTGGCAACTCTGCTGGTTTGCTTAGACCTGTGTAGATTATGCTAGTAATTGCTGGTTTGGAGGACCAGAATAACAAGAACTAGTAAATCTACCTATAGATACGCAGCATTACATTTCTGGTAAAACTGGCTAAAAAGAGATCTTGTTGGTGAAGCTAGTTAAAGGAACAGTTCAGTCAAAAAAAAAAACTCCCCCTTCAAACCCATGTTTTTCTTTAATCCATACACAAATAAAAAAAAATTCACAAAATATCCAGTCTGTTTCTACTATTAAATAATAATGACTGGGAACTAAGGCTGTTAAGTTCCATAAATTACAAACATTAAAAGCTATACTATACTGTATATTCCAAGTCTTCTGAGGTCATACAATACCAGTACGTTTAGATCTGTTAAACACATTTTACCATATTTAAACACATTCCACATATTTTCCCTAGACTGAGCACAGAAAATGTGAAAGTGTACAGATTCTGTGTAGGGCAACTGGGTGCACATACTTTTGTCTCCCCCGGGAAAGATGGACCTGAGACGGGCTTTCTTGTTCTTCTCCTCTGGAGCCATTGGAAGTGGTTTTGAACTGTGTACTGAGGAAGGGTCACGGGAACTACTGTTCATTCTTAAAGGGGGGGCAGGTGGCTTTTCTTCAATATCAACACTATCGGACATCTTTATTTGCACTCACTATGGTCTGCAAAGAGAGAAAGAGAGAGCTTTTATGAAGTCTACCTTTCAGATATATGGTCTATGAAAAACAATATGAATATTTACTAAACATTTCACAATAAGGTTCTATACATTCGTCAATGCATTAGGTATCATGAACTAACAAAGAACAACATGACTTTATAACAGTAATAATCAACAATTTTGATTATTCTTGATTTATATAAATAATTGTATTTTTAATAATTATATTATTGAATTAATAACCTAAAATATAATAGTTTTATTGTAAATTGTTATGTGAAATACTAGATGACAGATCATAACTTGTGCAAGCTTTGCGGAACATTGTATCCCAAACATGCAGCACCCTCAACATGATCTTCCATTTCCAGTGAATCCAGAAATGAACCCGGAAACAATATCATCTGCTATTTTTAACCTTTTTTTGGTAAAAATTACAATTAGGGTTCCATTTTTAAATGGTTCATAAAGATGTTCATGAATGACTAATAACTCATTTACAAATGCAGTATAAATCATTGATAAGCAGTACTAAATGCGTGAATAAAAAGAGTGATTTTAGCTCAATACATGTCAAAAAGTGAGCCATTTTTGAAATCACGTTAAAGAAGCTTAATAAACCTATTTGTTCATTATTTATCTCAAAAACAGATTCCTGATTTATTACACGATGCACCACAAATAGACTATTATAGCAAGACTGAAGGGTGTTGAATTTGTCGTTTTCTCATTTATATCTCATGACTCGTGTCATTTTTTGTTGCTTACCATAAGGTACTCTGTATCTTACCCATTGATGTCCTGCAAAAGTCCATGATGCCTATCCACAGCAATGTATAAAACTGATATCTTTTGTTTATCAAGATTAAATTATTAAACTTTATTTTGGGGGAAAAAAATCGAAGTTACTAGTTACCTGAGAGCCTTAATGTAGGGTGAACCATTTATCCATAAATTATAGATGTTAATAACCTGTGGAAGTGAACCTTAATGTATTGTGAACACCTGTGTACCATTTATTAATAAGTTATAAATGTTAGTAACCTGTGAAAGTGCACCTTAATGTAAAGAGAACACCTGTGAAACATGAATTAATGAGTTATAAACATCATTAACCTGTGAAAGTGAACCTTAATGTAAAGTGAACTCCTGTGAACCATTTATTCATGAGTTATAAACATTAGTAATATGTTGTTAAACCTTAATGTAAAGACCTGTGAACCGTTTATCAATGAGTTTTAAACGTTAATAACCTGTGAAAGTGCACCTTAATGTAAAGAGAACACATGTGAACTATTTATTAATGAGTTATAAACATCAATAACCTGTAAAAGTGAACATTAATGTAAAATGAACACCTGTGAGCCATTTATTCATTAGTCCTATCATGACAACTTTTGGGAGATTTTAGCATGGTAATGGATATGACAATGTTAATGTATTTGGTCTTGGCGGAACAGATCTGCTACGCTGCTGCTGTTGGTTATTGCTGTATTTGTACATTATTGCTGCTGCTGCTGCAAGCAAGTACAGGAAGTTGCTACTGCCAATACATGTGCCGATATGGTGCTGTGAGTTTTTAAGACATACTGCTGCTGCACAAATAGCATATAAAATAACCCCCCAAAAAAGCTGGAACGAGAAGATAAACAAAACAGCTAAAATGTGTATGCTGCTGACAGCATGAAAACGTACTGCTGATATACAATAATGTGCTTGAAAGCATCCCCATAAGGCAGGAGAGAGATGAAATGATATCCCCCCCCCTCCAAAAAAGGACATGAGCCCGGGCCTGCTTTGCCGAATGGCTTAACATTAGTGGACTATTGCTGTACCTGATCGGTTGACCAGAGTGCATAAAACTAGTGACTCGACTTAAATGTGTTTCTGGGCTAGTGAAGCACAGAGAAATTAACTTTGTGTCTGAGCCAATATTGCTCAAACTTACCTAGGTAAGGAAATGTGCAATGTGTGTCATTACAAACAGGAATCACATTGTAGGCTGATAGATGTAGACCGAATCCAATGTTTGCTTTACTTCCTGTCTCCTGAGATACCTTCATCTGATCTATTTTTGAAGGCAGCATAGTTATATCCTTCGCTGCCTTCAATGTCCCACAGTGCTATGCGTGTGCACGTGCGAGGAATGTGATTGGTCGAGCAGGATTGAGCTCGCAAAAATAAAATGGCGGCCAAGAAGCCGGTTGGAGCACAGTTTTTTATAAATTTGTTTAGTTTTCACTTTCAATAACTTTTGATTGCATTTCTAGCGAGAAATTAGCATTGCAGTTTTCAAATATGTGACTGCTTTTTGCAAAGACACTCTCTGTTTATAATTCAAATAGATTTTCGCTACGCTACCTATGAAGCCTGTTCGAATCCGTTTCTCAGAGCTGCCTTCGTGCACAAACGCTGCCTCCAGAGTCATTGCCTGATAAGACAGCGAGGCAGCAAGTCAGCTGCCTAGGCTTTCGGACACAGCCGAAATCACTATTAATCACGTGATTGGGATGGGAAAAAATGTCAGTTGGAGTGGGCGGGACCGAGAATCATAATAACACTATAATACCCAACTTTATTCACAAATATACCTTTTATATAAATAAACTATATATTCTAATTTTGAAATAAATTCTAGTTGCCCTGTCTCTTTATGCTCTCCTCCTGTTTGCTTTGTTGTGGCTGGTTAAGTGAATGATGTGCTCCACACCCGCAACAGTTGGTGGCGGTAATTCACCAAGTTGTTATGCCAATGCCAACCACCAATAATATAAGAAGGCGGCTTCCCCATGCACTTTGTAACCGCAAAAATCATAATAAAAATGGAGTCAGACATGAAAGCCACGCTGAAACGTCTACTGTTGGAAAATGATACCTCAGCTGTGCTCATCGACATTTCTGGGCGGTCTGAAGTAACCAAAAAATGTTTACGAGTTGAGAAAGACAAGCGTGAAAACGCCATACGCCAGCTGCAAGACATGTAGACAAATTATTAAATACCATTCCGACTCAGGCACGAGTGGCCTTCAGCGTCACACATGCAAAGCAGCCCACTCAAGGCAACCGGCAATTTCTTCATTTATGAAGCGTAAGGTGCCAATGACTGTAAAGTCGAGATTCACAGACGTGATGGCTCGTATGTGCACTGCAGCCAGGATCTAGGAGCGTTCGTTATTGTTGAAGGACGAGGGTTCATTGAAGTTGCGAAAGAGCTCATTAATATTGGGGCTAAATATGGAAGCAGCATTGAGGTCAAAGATGTGCTACAGAGGCATGCACTGTTTCTCGCCACGTTGAAGACGAATACGAGAAAATAAAGAAACATGTTATGCTACTATGCTATTAAGCTACAACAGGTAGGCCTGGCTGCACTGCTTCCTTATTGTGATGTTTAATGTTGGTCTCTATTTTTTTAGCCATTTTGGAGCCTACTTTTATGGGATTTTAAATTAAAAGCATATGGTCAAATAGTTATCTCTTCATGTAAGATCATGTGAAGCCTGAAATAACATTTACATCAAACTCTATTCCTTTAATGCCCAGAATGCGCTGTGACAACTGACATTTGGGCAAAAGAAAGAACAAACACAGACTACATAACAGTTACAGTTCATTATATTCTTGGATGGAAATTGTTGAACTGGGTCCTGGCTACAAGGGAGATCATGGGTGTCAAAACCCATGACAATATCAGAAGTACTGTGGAGCCTATCCTTCAGGTATCTGTCTTGTACCCCCAGTTTCCTCCTGTGTTACATATATGTGTAGTACAGTGGTTCTCAAACCTGTCCTGGAGTACCCCCAGCCCTGCACATTTTGTATGTCCCCCTCATCTAAAACACCTGATTCAACTCATCAGCTCATTAGTGGAGACTGCAAGACCTGAAGTGGGTGTGTCAGATATAGGGAGACATACAAAATGTGCAGTGCTGGGGGTACTTCTTGGAGAGGTTTGAAAACCACTGGTGTAGTACATACTTAACGGTGTTATACAGTATCTATTGGCTTGTCCAAGTAATATGGTACTATTCTATTCAGTGTCTCTTATATTTCTTGTTAATTGTTCTGACTAGCTCAAGCTTTAACAATATATATATATATATATATATATATATATATATATATTGGTAACACTTTATAATAGTTAATCATTAGGTAATGTAAATTGAAATACTTACAAATGTCTATAAATATTCAGTTCATATGATCTTGATTTGTTGGTCTTTGTTTGATTGTGTAGACCTCTATTTACACATCTTAACAAATAATCTATTCATTATTAGGGCCACCATTATCTACAAAAAAGTTTCTTGGTACAAAATCCAAAACCCAACAGGTAGTCAGTTATTTTGAATTTCCTGTACAATTTTTGTGCAGTTTTTGCCATTTCCAGGCCTTGTACTTTGACGAAGTCCTCCTACAGTTTTAATTGGATCATCTTCAAATTTGATGAGGGTTATCTTAAGGCCTTTGTGACGTTAAATTGTGAAGATCTTGAGTTTTCGTAAAAAGGGCGTGTCCCTGGCAGCCTGACAAAGTTTGATATTTCGCCATGAAACAGGAAGTTGCTGTAACTAAGGCAAGCAATCTGCCCCAAACTTCACATGTTTTATAGGTGTTCTGTCCTGAACACATGTCCATGCCCAAATTCAGTTACAGTCATAGCGCCACCTGCTGGCAACAGGAAGTGTCATGGTTAACACTGTTATGGACTCATAGGAACATATTAAAAAGTGTCAACAAGTGTTAAATAGACTGGCAATGTGCTAGAAACATGCTAAAACATGCTAGCAACACTTAGCTAAGTGCATGTTATTAATGCCATCAAACAGGAAGTTGTTGTAACTCATGCATACAATGTCCAATCTGCCTCAAACTTCACATGTTTGATAAGAGTCCTGGCCTGAACACATCTAAAGGCCAATATTCAGTTATAATTATAGTGCCACCTGCTGGCAACAGGAAATGACTTGTTTCACACTAACTTAAACATGCAATCCC